GTAAACCCAGTCGTGATGTGTTACGAAGTATGCATCCTATCCTAGTTACAAGGAGCCCTGTTCAATGTTGAGATGCATTGTGTCACCGCCGGCGGGCACTGCTGGCCACAGGGGTCACAGTTCAAATGCGAGGGTGGTTAGACTACCTAGGTAGGTAGGTTAGGTTAGGTATGTAGGCAGTCCTCCTACCTGGAGATGCTGAGGTGGTGGTTACCCCACACCCCGGCATGACGCATGTGGTCAGGTCCCTTTCAACAAAGGTCCAGTCTCCGCTTCCAGGTCCCACCATCGAGGTGGGTACCTAATACCTAGGTAGGTACCTAGACGCATGCTTTCGTTATAACGAGATGTATTCCATAAATGAAACAATCTACGCACTGCACATGTGCATGTGCATGTGGAAGTGTAGGTGTGCTTGTAAGAGGTACCTACCTAACCTGGAACCTCCAGGCAGCCAACATCCATCGGCGCAACCCTTGGTCACCTTACAAGGTGACTGGCTGTATCCTCTTGTTACCTTACCTTACGCATACCTACTTACACTACAGTCAAAACACAGCCACTCAAACCATTCCCTAGGTGGCATAGGTCTCTTATGCACTGCCTGCGGGGAACTGTCAGATGAACAGTTAATAGGTAATCAAAAGCCCAATTGTTTGAGATTTGTTAATATTGGTGAAAATACACTACCGGTACCATGTCTGGGAGCTGCTGATTTATGCGACGTTGAAATGGCCGGCAAGGGCAACAACACCTGTCGCCACGATGAACTGCTGCTAGAGTGCTCGCCGTGGGCAGTGGAGGCTGGGTTTGAGCGACCCGATGCTGCAAAAAGGCTTGCGGCGACAACAAAAGGCGGCCGTAATCCTCTGTCCACCAAGGGAAAGCCAGCGAAGACGGTGAAGAAGCTGAGTCAGGAGGCGGCAGAACAACTCTCGCCCTCGTTTCCCGCGCCCCTCCTGCTGCCCAAGGACGAGCTGAACTGGGATCCCGACTACCCACCCCAGTCGTTTCGATCCTGGCTCGTTGAGATTGAGCGGAACAAGATCACGTCCGGGCGCAGGACTCTTTATGTTGCTGCACCGCCAATCGTCACGCCAGGTGTGAGCTTCATGAATGCATGGGCACAACCCACAGCAGCAGCATCAGCAGCATCAGCAGCCCCCGCAAGTCAGCTTGATGGACTCGATCCGCCATCGGCCGACGCCTCCTTGCAGTACCTCGGTGCATTTTACCATGGCCTCCCTGTCAAGTTCTTGCCTGATCAGTTGCGCTTTGTGCCATGGGAAGACACTCACGGCTATGTTGGGCTTGCGCGAAATGACATGTGCACCCGTATCCGCACCCGGAAAACTCCCGACGGGAAGTTTAAGAGGCAGTTGAACTTGAACGATATCCTTGATGCCGCTATTGAGATGCTGCCCAACGATGCGTACTCAATAGCCCTGCTCATGCATTTCGACCTATATGAGGATGACGATGATGATTTCTGTTGCGGACGAGCCTACGGTGGAAGTCGCGTTTGCGTCGTGTCCTCGGCTCGGTATCATCCAGCCCTCGATGTGGACGAGAACATTGACCGTAATCACATGTGGCCAGCTTCGCACTGCAAGAAGTTCGCCGATGACCTGTGCGCCGTAGAAGGCCTGGAGCCGAAAGAACATATAAAACCAGCATACGAGACCCCGGACTCGCCCCTACAACAGGCCGTCGAAGCAACCCGACAAGTCCATACAACGTCAACTATTGAAGGTAAGAGTGGCTTGTGGTTCTCACGCATTGCCCGCACATTAGTTCATGAACTCGGGCACTGTTTCGGGATGGACCATTGTATCTATTACGCTTGCAACATGCAAGGCACCTCCGGCATCGCAGAAGATGTGAGACAACCACCTTACCTATGCCCTGTGTGCTTAGAAAAGGTGGCTTATGCCATCGCTTGCGAGCTCCAAGCTCGAGATAAGACAGGAAAAGACGAGTACATAAAGGAGAGGTATGGAGCTACTGCTGAGTTCTGTGAGACTTGGAAGCATGTTGAGCTCTTTGCTGCTTATGGTGCTTGGATACGCGCGCGCCTCCAACAGCTCTCGGTCTAGACCAAGGGAGGAAAGATCCGCCGCCAGCACATATTTCCAATTCTGGTTGACGTGGCGCGCATCCGAGGGTACTCTATTTCCAACATTCAAGGGAAAGATGTGCATGTAGTATATACGCATAATGCACACAATTAGGAAATACTCTTCAGCCACGTTTTTTCTTTTCTTTTCTTTTTAGTATGTAATCACACCCCCGTTTTCATTTTTGGAAATATCCGTGGCAATGGGTCTATGGGTACGCCATTTTTTGAACTTTGTATTATTGGTTTGGTGTAGAAGTATGCGTCTTAAACGCTGGAGAGATGGAGCACCATTAAAAGGATACATGAGTCACATGAGATACTTAACCCAGGACACTCTATCTCTGGTACGCGCCTCTGCTCGTGCTACGAGTCCAGTATGGTTGAGGCGAGGCCCATGACATGGCCAACTGACCCGAAAAGGCAGCGCCGAAGATGCCAAGCGCAATAAATGCAAGCCCCGACCCGTAGAACTGTCAGGTCTTGTGTCCCGCCGTTATTCGCGAGAGCATGCCTATTGAGTTGCTTTTCCGGAGCCTACGGTTCCAATCCCCGCTGCACGAGCCGTATCCCGGTCTCTATCCAGCCAGTAAGCAAATCCCGCTAGTTTTCCTGACTATATTTTCCGTGATATTATCCATTCAATATCGTATGATTTCAAGAAAACACCGGGAGTCGAGACCGCGGGAAATTGGAGAACGGGAAGCTGAACGGCTCCACCACCACCGGAGAGCCGAGAGCAAGCGAAATGAAGAACGGAGAGCTTAACGGGCCCACCGCCGGGCTTACGGCTGATGCGCAGAAATGCTTTCAGTCGTTCGTTGAGGAATGTCGCGATCACGGGCTCCTCCAGCGTCCTGACGGCTTGTCTGCCGAAGATGCACTGGATGGCTTGAACGATGAAGTCACCCTATTGTACCAGCGCCTTATTTTACCATTGCACTTTAACCAAATACTAATAAGGGTTACTCCAGGAGGTTCCTCTCCGGTCGCGGGTTCGACGTACCCGGAGCGCTCCGGCAGTTTAAAGAGGCTCTGGCAATACGAAACTCCGTAAATACAACCGAAGCATACGACACCATTGACATCGACGACTTCGAGCACCTGCGTGGCATTGTGCGTAATCATAGTTTCCTTGTCTTCTAGCTCCAGTCATCCCAAACCAAAGAAAACTAACAATTCGAATTATAGTATCCCCAATGGTCAGGTCATCGAACTAAAAAAGGTCTCCCAATATGCACCCTTGACGCGGCTAACCGTAAGTGGTTTCTGGCTTTATCCTACATGTGATAGATAGCAACGCAAATCACCTGCCAGGTCTAGCATTATATACAGGATCTTCCCACTCGTCGGAATGTTTACGGATTACGCGGTTACTAACCGAGTTTTGCAGTGGAAGGGCCGAACTTTGCAAAATATCACAATTACACCCCGTCCCAAGTTACTTGCCGTGCAATCACATCTCTCGACTACCTAACCCGTTTCGTGCTGCCCCTCTGCTCCGTGAGGGCGGACCGACCTGATCCGGACCAGCCGGTTTCCAAAGCGGTATATATCGTTGACATAACTTACATAAGCCTCAGACAGGCGTGGAATATACGAGGGTATGCGCAGAGTATCACAGGGTTATTAGCGACATGTTACCCGGAGGTCGTGGACAAGATCTACGTTGTCAATGCCCCGCCGTATTTTTCTAAGGTTTGGGCTATTATAAAGGGCTGGATCGACCCGAACACGGCGACGAAACTGGTGATAGTGCCCCCCGCGGATGTTTTGACTACCCTCTTAGAAGTGATCGATATCGAGTGTATACCAGGGCGGTACGGCGGACAGTCAAAAGCCCAGAATGGAGCGGTGCCACCTGTTGACGACTTGAAGGACTTGTTGGGCATTGAGGAGCTACCGGATGGTCCGATTAAATGGACCATCGACCAAGGGAGCCGGACTGCGGTTGCGGTTGGTGCTAGGGGAGGGGAGGCTCGCAAAGAGTTGTTGGGTCCCGTTGACGTCAAGCCAGTTTTGTAATGCATATAGATGGTGTTAGGGTACTTCAGAGGGATCTCTCGTCGGTAATGTCGTTTTACACTCATAGATGCAAAGCCCCAGGCTTCTCATGGCGAACGGGATAAGCCCCTATTGGCACAGTGTCATTTCCGGCTGTCCAGTAGATCACGCGCCAACCCATCGACCATATCTATTTACCTGGCTCGGTACTCCAATCATTGGCGAGTAGAGAGCGCTGGTAATGAAAATGTCTCGACTTGCAGCGTCAGGCACTCGGAAATCGCGATGATTTCTTTAAGTGTTGCTTGCGTAAATCTCCTTTTGCGGATTACTGTCTTGAATAAACTCGGTCGCTCATTTGTTCGTTCGTCGTGTCGGTCTGGAACCTGCACCTCACAACAGCACGCCGGGATCGTCTTCAACCCTCCCAAGACATTTCGCATAACCTTGAAACGCGCAATTATCGAGAATGCGTACATATAATTACTTCCATTATTTATTAACCACACACCCCGTATCATATAAGTAAAAGGTGTAATGAACGAGTGGTTTTGCAAATGGCAGGTAGTAAGTAGGTAAGGTAATCAGTAAGTAAAATAGTCGGTAGGTAAGTAAGGTAGCCAGAGGTAGTAAGTAAGTAGGTAGGCAGGTAGGTAGTAGAGTAGCACTGCTTAAAACGTCTTCACCCACTCAACAACATCTAGGCACGAAATCTCATTCATTATTAATTAAATTAGGTTGAGGTGCGCTTCGATCATAAGAACCTCCCCTCCCTCCCTACCTACTAGGAAAGAAAGAGTGAGTGACAGAGAATTCCAGCGGAAATTCCATTAAAAGAGAGAGAGAGAGAGAAGTAAAACGAACAAAAATAAAATATACTCTCTCGATCGGGGAATCGAACCCCGGCCACCTGCGGCCTGTTCTACGATTCGTGTTCGTTGAATGACAAGCAGGTATCCTGACCACTAGACCAATCGAGATTGTGAGAACGAGGTAATCTTATCAGACGATATGCCTAAGCTGTATTATGTAAGGAGACATGGGTCAGAGTGGATGTTTCAGTAGCAACAAAAAGTCCAAGTTGATAGCGGGCAGGTAATCCAATTATTCTGATTCACAACACGTCCAACACAGAAGAGTTGTAGCTGCCAAGAAGTTTTACATTTAGTAGAGTCTGTTATATCTTTAATGAAAAAAGACCTGAAGCCAGTGCCTAATGCAGAAGACATACTCAAGCGCGCGAGGGAGGATGATGCTGGCAGCCATCCTGTATCACGGGATCGATACAAGCAATATGCACGCACAGCACAGCACCCACGATCAAACCATACCAAGCGTCTACATCTCGCCCACGAATCTACGTCGGAGCATGACAGAGCTATGCAGCTTCCGCCCATCCCAGACTACTTGCACACAGATTACTCCTGTCAACGTCCTACACCTTTCAACAGCCCAAACAGCGAGTTCATAGAGCAACTCAAGAAAATGAGGACCCTCAGAACCCTGGAGATACGTCGTCGTTACTAGGGTCCCGAGCTCAGCAACAGAGCCTAGAATTATCTCCGCTCAGAAGTCTGGGCTATCCTTCAGGGCGCCATCATACATGTATGTATGTGACTATGCAACCGAGAGCTAGAAACCGAGCCGCCTCGCCATATTACTACACAGACAGCTAAGGCTAGTCTTCGTGGTTTATCTACCGATATTGCGGCCACATATTTCCCGTATGGCGCTCCAAGTAGTAGATTGATTCCCGAAGAACTTCGGTTGGTGACTCGGGTCTGAGACAGGTGGAACGATCAACAGCATCAGGGATGGCATTATCAGGGCTTCGTGCTGCACGGGGTGGCGTTCCTGCCACCGACGCCACAATCCATATAGGTCATGCATCTCAATATAAAAGCCAGGCGTTTTCTCTGCCATTAGAAAGATGACTGTCTTAGAAACCAACCAAACACTAAACCTCACTGGCCCTTCTCCCTTCTGATCAACTCACTCCTTTTACGTCCAAAACAGGGCACAATGGCCACTGACAACGCTCACCTCCGTGTAGCCATCGTAGGTTCTGGTATTGCTGGATTGGCCGCGGCCCGTATCCTACGGGAGAAGCACGAAGTCACGGTGTATGAGCGCGGGGAACCCTCTATCACAATCGGGGGTCAAGGCATTGCGAACTACCCCAACGCGACGCAGATCCTTAGTGCCATGGGGTTTGACTATAAACGCGTAGGCTCCGTCGAGCTTGGAGGTTGGAAAACCGTTGATAAATCTGGGAAGTACCTCCATGGCACAAAGTTCAATATGAGAGAACGATATGGCTCCCCCCTCGTGGGCCACATGCGCGTTGATGTTCGCACAGAACTACTGAGATTAGCCACGGCCCCCCCTGAAGACCTGGGTCTTGACGCGACCGCGACAGCTGCAGCTATGGTGTGGAATAATGGTGTTATTGGCCTAGATGCTGAAACTGGGAGAATCACTTTAGAAGATGGCTCTACAGTTGAAACAGATATTGTCGTAGGTAGGTGACCTCCAGTTATTGTCTGTATATCGAGTAGTGGGCCAAGGGCTAACGCGAAACTATAGTGGCCGATGGCATCCATTCTCGACTGAGGAATACGATACTTGATGAACCAGTGAGTCCTCAAAAGACAGGACTGACGTGTTGCCGCATTGCTGTATCGGCAGAAGAAGCCGAGAAGGCTCTCGGGAAGCTGCCGCAGTGGTGGGAGGACCAGCTCAAAGCCGGACAAGGCCATATGCGTCTCATCGAAGCACTGGATGGAACTTCACGAATGATGGCGATGTATCCACTTCGTGACAGCTCTTGGATGAACATGGCATGGGTGTTCCAGACCCAAAAGGAAAGGGAGAGCACGACTCAATCATGGGATGCAGATGGCGATCGCGATGAAATACTAGAGATTTACGACGACTTTGATGACGAGCTCAAAACATTGCTACGGTGAGTAGTAATGAATGCACTTGCCTTGAAATTCTGACTGCTGATGAAACTTAGGGTTGCCACTGAGGTTAAGCTGTGGGAGCTCCAGGATCTTGAGCCATTGCCGAACTGGGCCTCCGGACGTGCGATCCTCATTGGTGATGCCGCCCATGCAATGACGCCTCTACAAGGCCAAGGTGAACCCCTCTTGCTAATAAAATTCACAATTTCTGTTTGCATTCTTGTACCGTGATGTGACGTGACATTCGACAGAATGCTAATTCAAATGTAACCAGGATCTAACATGGCTATCGAGGACGCCGAAGGTCTTCGTCTTCTTACACAACCCGGTGTCACACGAGATAGTGTGCCCAACGTGCTCAGGGAGATTGAGAGTGTCAGGAGGCCACGTGCCAGGAGAGTGCTCATGAACACGCGCGCCACGTCCAATATTTCTAGTGCGGCCGATAGATATTCCAAATTCGACGAGAATTGCCAATACCCTGGCATATTGAATATTCTCAAGAAATGAGCTGCAGAAGCTTGAGGATCTCAGAGGCCATGCCGGAAGCACTGCTCGGAATCATAGTTGTTGTTTTATAGAATTCTTGTAGGGTCGGTACCACGACATGAAATCACGCATATTATTTATTTCTTATCTCCCTTTTGAGACATAAGAAATGTTCAAATGTGAGCTCTTATTATAGATAAATGAGACAGGTAAGCCAAGGCTCAACTTGTTTCGGAATTCGGCACGGCCCGTGTTCAGAGTATTTATAGCGAGCGGCCAAGTCGTGTATTAGTGGCGGATCGCGATCAATAGAATGATGATGCTTCGACGAGACAAGAATTAGGGTAAACCCAGCGGACGAATAGAATCCCCTAGCTAAAGTAGTATATTACAATAGCTATATGATATATAGAAATTGAAAACCAGAAACAACAAGCTCAATAAAACTTTCCATCACATGATGACTCAACTGAATACATACCTAACAGCCAAACTGCGCTTCTGTATATGGCTAGATAAGTATAGGCTATTAATTCGCATCCTAAAGTTCAGTACATATATGGCAATACCGTCTACACCTTCTCTATGATCTTATGACTATCATTTAACCCTTTTTTTTCAAGAGGGCTTGCTAGGAGATATTATTCCTAAATTCATGGGGGTGATACCGATACCAAAGCCAAGGACATCTAAAGATTCAACTGAAAAAAGTAAAGTGGTCAAGTTTCGAATATAGAGTAAGTAATTACAGTACTAAATACGGCTCAACAGATCGCAATCTCAACTATGGACCCTTCCAAAGTCCCGTCGCGAACAAACGCCTCGCCTTGCATGATACCATGCACGTAAGCATCTCCTACTAAGATGTATTGCTGCTCACCGACTTCTCTGAGCACAAACGGCACGTTGACCCCCTTCAAAACGCATACCTTATCACCGTCTCTCGTCATATCCGGAACGAGTCCTACATAGCCATGGTCCGTGATCGCGAACCGTCGCCCAGCCACCGCCCGACACATATTCGCATAGCCCTGCGGATCCTCGAGCCGGCGCATCCGCATCGCTTCGGGGATAGGACCAGCATCCGGGCCGAGAGACGAGAGCTCGGGCTCGAACATGAGATCCCGCGAGTGCGTGTTTTCCCAGAACGAAGTGACGTTCCTGGGGCTCTTGATCTGGTCTGCCTCGAGGAGGATAGCGGCTACCGTCCTCTTATCTTCACCTGTGGGATACGCGCCTTCCATTCCCAGGAACATCTGGATATAGGAGAGGATGGTGATGAGATTGGTGATATTCGGCGCGTCGTGGAGATTGGCCCCGGGGACAGGACGGTCTGGTCCCACGACGGCAATAGTCTGTAGGATGACGCCCTGCGCAAATAGAACGTTGCCCTCGACGCGAAGGCGAGGCTTGGGACGCTGCTCGCCTGCACTGCGAGAGCCGTCGGCATTGAAGAACATCCCCTCAGATGCGATCAACGTCTGGCTAAGATTGATCCGAGCGGGCGCCTCTGACCAGTCGGGAACCCAAGACGGTAGACTCGGGTCTCCTCGATTGGTAAGGGCTGCTTCGGAGAGAATAATAGCCCCATCTCCATTCCTCAATGTGAATTCCGCGAATTCGCGGTAGACATCCGCCTTTGACTTGAGATACTCAGGTTCGGGGTTGTGAGATCTAGACACCAGATTTAATAGCGCGAAGATTTTATCTACGGGCAAAGTAGCTTCCGCGGTGCGGCAGAGCGAGAGCATGTGAACGAGGTTCTTTAGTTTCCGATTATTCTCGTCCTCTCCGTGAAAGTTGTTTCGGAGCTCGTGCATCTGCATGATCTGCGTTAAGCCGCGATAGAAATCTATCTTCTGCTCCGACGACACGTTTATATGATCCCAGCTGACCTTCGCTTCTGTAAAAGAGTAGTAGAACATCATAGAAAAGCTCCCCCACTCACACAGAGTCTTGCCGCAGTACATCTCGACGCTGCGTGATACGACGAACTCCTGAATCACCCAGATGCGTCGGAACCACGGCCGGGAAAGCAGGTTCATAAGTGCTCTCTGAACTTCGTGTTGATCGAAGCCCTCGAAGAGCTTGGACTGGCTGGCCCCGAGCGTTTTAATACAGATCTGCATCATCTCGGCAGGGTCTTCGGCGGTCCGTCTTTGATTCATGAAATCCGCAATCGCTCCTCTTACGCGCCACATGTGGTTTTCGAGATACGCAGCAGCCAGGTCGCTATCCGCGCTCTTCTCGCCGAGATAGACAATAGTTTTGCTCGCGTTTCTATAGATCTGCTCCATGAGGGCCACCTGTCTACCCCGTTCCACGAGGTCGCCTTGGTTGATGCATATGGCATCAACCCAGAGCATGCGCGGTGTCAGGTCGAGGCGGAGATTCAATAACGCTGATTGTAAGTTTGTTGTGATTTCTAGGTGGCCTTCGCCGCAAAGGAGCACATGTGGCTCGGTTGAGCTTCCCCATGTGTAGCTTAGAGCCTCATAAATACCTACTGCTTCTTCGATAGCGAT